GAGAATATGTAACATTCATGTAAAACAATAATAAGACACATCCCTCGAACCTTTCATATCCAGGTGTATTCCATCCGACAACTTGGGGGTAATACTTCGGCAACACAGCACGAAGATTTTTCATCGTTAAAATATAAGTTGCGGATGAGAATGTCCTGTATCCACCCTCCCAAGACATCATATATTATGGTATCTATGAAAGTGAACTGGTCATCCAAAGAACGCATTATTGAAATACATCAATCCACACTGGTTATTGACAGAAAAACTACTTGCACTGCAGCGGTGCTAATGTATTTTTCTAAGAGGGTTTTCATGTTTTATAGTGGTTACTTAACTGAAGCAAAGTACAATAAACGTATTTTTTGCCCCTTCTAAACCAGTTAAAAAAATACAGGTTCAGCGTCATCCGTCGATTTTAAAAAAAAGGGCGATAGGGCAGTCGCGCACGGCGTTTAACGTCGTCATAACGCGCGTCAACGTCACGATTCGAGGACGGGAGGTCGTTCAAATACAGTAAAGCCACTGTCGCCTCTCCTCCTTGTTGGGACAAGTTGCAGCGGGCGCAATTCGACTGGTAATCGTACTTGATTTAATTTATGTTAAAAATACCATTAATTGACTGTAAGCTGTAACAGGGAATGATGGAATATAAATGAATCTCGTGGGTAATTCTTCCTTCTTCAGCCTGGCTTTGGGATGTGTATGCCCCATGTGTGCGTGTCTCCTTCATATGAGTGAGTGAGTGAGTTTAGTTTTACGCCGCACTCAGCAATATTCCAGCTATATGGCGGCGGTCTGTAAATAATCGAGTCTGGACCAGACAATCCAGTGATCAACAGCATGAGCATCAATCTGCGCAATTGGGAACCGATGACATGTGACAACCAAGTCAGCGAAACTGACCACCCGATCCCGTTAGTCGCCTCTTACGACAAGATAGTCGCCTTTTTATGGCAAGCACATGGGTTGCTGAAGACCTATTCTACCCCGGATCTTTCACGGGTCTCCTTCATATGCGTCCGACTCAGAATGATCGGAGCATTTCTCCTGCCTAAGTCTGTCTCTTTACTTGGAAAACGGAAGAAATGGTGGCTTTCCATTATTTGATGATTCCGTGTATCCCCAGGCAACAGAATACACCATCGTACCTTTTACAATAACGACAGAAACAACACGATTTGTACTACTGTAGCGCTTGGTCTTGGCAATATGGCGGACTCCATGCACATTTGACGTCACGAGCGGAAAGGTCACATGGGTTCCAGCGAAATATGCATAATGAGATTTACAGGAACTGTTTTCGCGATTAAAACATAATTATACATAATTGTTAATTGAAAATTTGGGAATATGTTTCCGATGACTATCTTTCACCCAGCAAATTATTGCAGTTCACTCGCATTTTCCTTTAACTACGGTAAGGATTTACAGATAGTGTAGGTTACTATTGGCAGCGTGCAATTTCGGTACATACAGAGTTAATCAACTAAGGTAGAAAACATACGAGACTGTATTGCTTGAACAACAGATGTCTGACGTACAAGTTTGTGCTTTACAAAACAAGACAATAAGTTGGTTAAATCAGTAATATATGACTGTGTAATAATACATTGGAACGGCACTATTGTCATTGACTACACATATTTCTTAAAATTACGAAACTAAGTAACAGCGAATGAAGACTGCAATTGTATATTTAAACTATGCAGGTTTGAATGGATATTTTCGGGTAATTTGAGGAGAATACAATACAATTTTCTAATGATTACGGGTAATGTGATTCGCGTATAAACTGTTCTGTACACTATACAACTGCACAGGAAACAGGACGTTTCATATAATTATTCAAATACGTATTCATGTGAAATATCAAAATACAAATGTTGGCTGTTGTAATCTATCCTGTGGGCGAGTTTCTGATGTAAATCAACTTGATTTTTATTTGATCGGCGGACTATCGTATTTGTAAAATAACTGATCTACCTACAACGTCATCATTGCTCAAAATAATCGTATACATTTTCTGAACTGTTTTTGTTACTAAGCTACTGGAATCTAGGCTACTGAACGAGAATCTAACCTGCATATACAGATCTGACACACAAAACGAAGAAAACTAGACAAAGACTACAGATATACACATGTATTTTAAAACACTGAAAAGAAATAATTGTATGTACATGAAAAACATAAAACTTGAGATGGCCACTTAGCAATGAGCTTAGACATCACTAGACAGTGCCTAATAATTAAACTTCCTAAAACTTCCTTAAACTAGTATTTACAATGGTAGACATTTAAAAAGTGCTTCAATATCATAGGAATGTATCAAAATTAACTCTCGTGATACTTACAAAGAAATAACAACTTAGACACAAACAAAGTTAAGTTTAAATGTTTCTTACCTTGAAACTAGAAAGGAGAGAGCTGTGAGTACCTTGGGTTTATTCAAGCAAGTGTGCCTGAGATGGAAAAACCCAAAATTATATCTCACAGCTCTACTAGTTCATCATTATTAAAATTTCTCATCGGTTAAAGTTTCCAGATGCACTATGTACCCTATGTTGACACAGTTTACAACACGAGGTAGGTGGTAAGAAGGTAATTACCTAACAAAACCTGGTTTTCTTTATGGTGAAGCCACAGTCAACTTAAGCCAGCTGCTAACAAAATATCTGTCAGTGCTTGACCATGGCATTTAGGATAGGACATGATGGCAATCTCAATCTTGTTCAACAAAAGTTGACTTTTGAGTACGACATAGTTGGTGGTAAAACATGCACTTGCTGGGACGGGAATATAAAGGTGTATGATGAAATATATGCACTGTGCATATACATAACACTAAAACTCAACAATATAGTTGATTCTACAGCGAATCCTCTGAAGTGTTTACTGGGTAAGAGTAGCTGACAGTGCATTTCAACACACATTTCAAATTCTGTCACACATTCAACACATTCATAAGGCTTGATTCCACTGTGAATCCTCCTGTGTTTCCGAAGAGTACATGATTGTGTACATATTTTTCACATTCAACACTGTACTGTGACACAAGTACTGTGACTATGTGTCCCAGTCCACCCAGCTGTGAATGGGTACCTCATAAGGATGGGAATGCCACAATAACTTGGTGTGCCTAGTGGCTGCAAGAGTTGTTTGCTCCCCAGTTGAGATTGACAATACGATGTGCTGTTGAGATTGACATCCAGTGAACGAGGGAAAAACTAAGTGCTTTTGAGCAGCTGAGCTGAGCTGGATATCGGCGCTATACAAATGTAAGTATGTGTGTGTGTGTGTGTGTGTGTGTGTGTGTGTGTGTGTGTGTATGTATGTAACACATTTATAAAGTTTCATTCCCCTGTGAATACCCATGAGTATCTTCACAACTATACTCTCCCCAAAAAGAAACGCATCATGAAAATTGCAATTTCATGTAGGAATGAATTAAAACGTGATTCATTTTACAACAGGTTTTGCTCTGTTTATGAGTCCTATGGTGTTTATGTTTTGAAACATCACAACAAAATGCACCATCCGTAAAATACCCGTATTTAACAGCATGATTTTCAATTTTGGTGTGTAGTGTCACAGAATACACAATTCACATGCAATGCACGTGAAAGTTGGGGATCAGATAGTCTCAATGATGGGTATAAAAGGTTGATCGCTGTCTGTCGATGATTCACTGTATTTGGAATATTGTTGACGAACGCAAAATGCCACATCGAAGTGAAGCCAACCGTCATATTGCCATTGGTTTGCTTGAAGCTGGCAAGTCTCAATGTGCAGTTGCCCGACGCATGAATGTTCACCAAAGCACCATTTCACGGCTCTGGTAGAGATATCGCCGGCAGAATTCGGTAGCAGATGCCCCTTCTAGTGGGCGACCTTGAGCAACCACTGCGGCACAGGATCGCTACATCTGGGTATATCACCTGTGTCATCGAACAGCTACGGCGACCAGTACCGCTTCGACAAATACCCGGATTGAGGAGGCTTCTGCACAGACCGTCAGGAACAGGTTGAGAGAGGCTGGTTTATGTGCCAGAAGACCTTATTGTGGCCCTGTGCTTCGACAACAACATCGTCCACATCGAGTTCAATGGTGCACCAACATTCAGGCCTGGAACCTACCGAATTGGCGTAGAATCTGGTTCAGTGATGAATCACGACTTCTATTGGAACAACGCGATGGAAGAATGCAGGTGTACAGATGTCGACGTGAATGTTTTGCCGACGCTTGCGTTCCCCAGGTGGACAGATTCGGTCGGGGAAGTGTTATGATGTGGGGGGGGATCACCTGCCGTAGAAGAAGTGATTTGGTGATGATCCAGGGCAACCTGACAGGTCAACAAATTCCTATGCCACACCTCCTTCCAATCATTGATCACCAGAGGGAGTTGTTTCAACAGGACAATGCCAGGCCCCACACAGCACGTCGTACTAGAGACTTCCTCCAGAACCACAACATCAATGTGCTCCCCTGGCCCTCAAGATCACCGGACTTAAACCCGATCGAACATCTGTGGGATGCCCTGGACAGACGGGTGCGACGCCTTAACCCTCTGCCCCAGACACTTCAGCAACTCGCACAGGCACTACAGGCAGAGTGGGCTGTGATTGGGCAACACAAGATTCTGAGACTTATTCGTTCGATGCCGAGGCGATGCCGTGCAGTTCTGGATGCCCACGGTGGTCACCCGAGGTATTGACGTCAGCACCACCACACATCTCCATGTGACACTCAAACTGACTTTCCTCGAGTTGGTGCCTAAGATGGATAAGTCTGCATTCCCAGTGTGCAATTTCGCTTTATTTCATTGACTCATAAAGCCTACAACATGTTTCAAAATAAACATAAAAATACAGTTGAAATTCCTATATGCGTTTCTTTTTGTGGGAGAGTATACCTAATCTAGTTTCCACTCAGCTGATGATTAGAGAGAGAGAGTACATAACATTAAAAATTTGTAAATTATTTCCAACATTCAACATATTCATCAACCTTTATTTCACTGTGAATTCTCATGTGTGCCTGCAGACTGTGTAATATTTTTCCCACGTGAGTGATTGTTTTCCAATGTTTAAATTTTTCCCACATTCATACCCTTAATTCCACTGTGAATCCTCATATGTGTTTCCCACATTCATCAGGCTTGATTCCACTGTGAATTATCATGTGATTGTGGAAATGTTTTCCCTCATTCAACACATTCATAAGGCCTGATTTCTACCCACATATTACATGATTGTGTGAAATTTTCCCAAAATTCAACACATTCATAATGTTTGATTCAACTGTGAATTCCCATGTGTGCCTGCAGACTACTGGAACGTGTAAATTTTTTCCCACATTCACCACATTCATAAGGGATGATTCCTGTGTGAATCCTCATGTGTGTCTGCATATTAACTAATTGTGTAAATGTTTTCTCACATACAATGCACTGATGAGGTTTGATTCCACTGTGAATCGTCATATGTCTTTGTAGATTACTTGGATTTGTAAATTTTTTCGCACATTCAACACATTCATAAGGTTTGATTCCACTGTGAATCCTCATGTGTGCCTGCATATGACCTGAACGTGCAAATGTTTTCCCGTATTCAACACATTCATGAGGCTTTATTCCATTGTGGATCTTCATGTGTGCCTTAAGAGTATATGATCCTGTAAATTGTTTCCCACATTCAACACATTCATGAGGCTTTATTCCACTGTGAATCTGCATATGTAACTTAAGAGTATATGATCGTGTTAATGTTTTTCCACATTCAACACATTTATAAGGCTTGATTCCACTGTGAATCCTCATGTGTGTTTTAGACTACTTGAATGTGTAAATGTTTTTCACACACAATGCACTGATGAGATTTGAATCCACTGGGAACCTTCATTTGTTTCTGATAGTGTAAATTGTTTCCCACTTTCACCACAATCATGTCTTGATTCCACTGTAAATATTCATGTGTTTCTGCATACTATCTGGTCCTGTAAAGTTTTCCCACCGTCAACACATTCATATGACTTCATTCTACTGTGAATCTTCATGTGTTTCTGAAGATAAGCTGATCGTGTAAATGCTTTCCCACATTCACAGCTCTTTATTCTACTGTGAATGTTCATGTGTGTTTGGAGATTAGCTGATTGTGTGAATGTTTTCCAACATTCAGCACACGCAGGTCTTGATTCCACTGTGGATCTTCACGTGTGTCTGGAGATTAGCTGATAGTGTGAATGTTTTCCCACATCGAGCACACTCATAGGTCTTGATTCCACGGTGACAGAGCACACATCTTTTCATTTCACCTGATTTAGAAAATGTTTCAAGGTTTTCACAACATGTATGAGACTGTTTTGCTGTTTTTTAATGATTCTCAAAAACATTTGGAAACTATTTCCAGGATTCCAATAACAGGTTCTTTCATAAGATCACCAGTTTCCAGGATTCCAATAACAGGTTCTTTCATAAGATCACCAGTTTCCAGGGTTCAATAACAGGTTCTTTCTTGAGATCACCCACTTTGAAGGTGTTAATAAATATATTTCTTGAGGTTACCAGCAAATCCCTTTAACAGCTTTCATTGGCTTCAGTGACAGAGAAAGGATTCTGTGGATTGCTTTCAACTTCCATCATTAACCTGTCAATGTTATGCTCACTGTAAACATAAGAAACGTTGTCACTCTCTTATAACAACTATACTACACATCCCTTGTTAAGGATCACAAAATATTGCAACTTTACTAAAACGTAGATTCAGAATTTGAAATTGTATCCATTTAAAACTGGATAAATAATGACATGGTAACAGATCTGTAGGAGAACAGCCACTATAAGGTAACCGTATGCACTCGAAACATGGTTTTCATGGCACTAATCTACCATTTTGCAAATCACAACACGGGTCATTGACAAGTACACAACACCTGTCAATAGCAGGTATGGGATCCACAAGATGCAGTGACATATTCAAAACTTGGATCCATGCTAACAATACGGCTTAGATATTTAAACCAAATTTGACCCCCACATCATACCTTTCTGTTGAATCAATGACTTGAGTGTGAATAGAATAGGTTTGGGTCAACTTCCATCAATAACCTCTGGATGTTATGGTGTTTACTGAAAATATAAGAAACGTTGTCACTCTCTTATCACAACTAGGTTAGGGATCATACACAATATGATGGTGTGACACATTGCATGATAACAAACCTGATACTTTAAAATTGTTTTCCCACACACAGCACATTGAGTGATTTTCAATATTCAGCATGGAAAATGCTAATGAAGGGATATATAATTCTTCTCTATTGTCCTACAATGAATTGTATTCAGCTGTTCAATATCCAAACTTTTACTGACGTTACATATTTACAGACTCTCTATCAAAACAAAACAAAAAACAAATAGATGTCTTGCAAACCGGTGTACGCCACTGTGTAAAATTGTTTGAAAGCAATGAATATATTTGATTATTATTCCATTCAACCAAATATTGTCATCAGCATACCCATAGTATAAAACACTGCATTGAAAGAATTCAAATATGTCTTCATATGATCATAATTACACCGATCTTTGATAAATTTAATTACATAATAATAATGCATAATAATATCATTTAGATGGCAGATATCATAAGGAGTGACACATCCTGTCATTAAACACTTGGGGCACCTTTAGATCCAGCAACAGAACCTTTCGTGGGGAGACCAGTTTTAACCATATTTTTGGGGTTAAGATCGGAAAAAATAATACACAACTGGCGATGATGATTTTTATGGGGAAGCATGTACAATGTGTATGATGCCCCCTAAAATCTATGCGAAAGGTAGGTGACTTCCTTGCATGTCATCTCACATCAATCCACTCACTTGCTCTGTGCTCCTACGCTCTGCTCCCCTCCACTCAATCACTCTGCTCCGCTCCCCTCAACTCACTCTCATTTCTCTGCTCCGTTCCATCCACTCACTCGCTCTTCTCTGCTCCGCTCCCTCCCCACACTCACTCGCTATGCTGTGCACATCTCCATCCACTCACTTGCTCTCCTGTGTTCCCCTTATCTCACTCTGCTGTGATCCCCTGCACTCCACTCACTCACTCTGCAGTGCACCACTCACCTCAACTCACTCGCTCTCCTGTGCTCCACTCCCCTTAACTCACTCTGCTGCATTCCATTCCCCTCATATCACTCTGCTTGCTCAGCTCCACTCACTCGCCTTGCTGTGCTCCACTCCCCTCAACACACTCGCTCTTTTGTGCTCCGCTCAACTCAACTCTCTTGCTCTGCTGTCATACCCTGCATGCCGCTCAATCATTTATTCTGCTGTACACTGCTGTGTCCACTCACTCGTTTTGCTCCGCTCCCCTCAACTCTCTCGGTCTCCTGTGCTCCACACCTTTCCATCTCCTGTGATGCACTCACCCACTCACTCTGTTGTGCTCCGCTCCACTATCTCACACTCCTGTACTCCACTGCTTCACTCACTTGCACTTCTGTGCTCCGCTCCATCCACTCACTCGCTCTGCTTTGCTCCGCTCAACTCACTCATTCTCCTGTGCTCTGCTGCTATCCATCTCCTGTGCTCAGCTCATCCACTCATTCTCCTGTGCTCCACTCAGCTTCACTCACTCGCTCTGCTGTGCTCCGCGTCCCCCACTCACTTGCTCTGATGTGCTCCGCTCCATCCACACACTCACTCTGCTGTGCTCCTCTGCTCGCCTCAACTCACTCGCTCTGCTGTGCTCCGCTCCGGCTCAACTCTCTCTGCTCTTCTGTACTCTTCTCCATCCACTCAATTGCTCGGTTGTGCTCTGTTCCCCTCTGCACACTCCCTCTGCTCTGCTCCTCTAAATTCACTCTGTGCCATCTGTGCGCTCCGTAGCTCCCCTCACCCCGCTGTGCTCCCCTCCATTCCATTCATCCACTGACTTGCTCTGTGGTGCTCCACTTCCGTCTACTCACTACCTCCGCTATGCTCCGCTCCTCTCACCTCACTCACTCTGCTGTGCTCCACTCCCCTGAATTCACTACCTCTCTTGTGCTCCGCTCCACTAACTCACCCTCCTGTGCTCCACCCACTTTAAATTTGTGTTCACTTGCACTTCTGTGCTCCAATTCCACTTCCGCTTCATCCACTCACTCCGTTCCCCTCTACTCACTGGCTCTGCTCTGCTCCCCTCAACTGACTCACTCACTCTGCTGTGCACTGCATCCATCCACTCTCTCGCTCTCGTGTGCTCTGTTCCCATCTACTCACTTGCTCTCCTGTGCTCCGCTTCACTCCACCTCCTGTGCTCCACTCCCCTTAACTCACTCGCCCTGCTGTGGTCCGCTCCATTCTGCTCACTTACTTTGCTACCTTCCACTAAATACCATTCCTCTACGATTCACTAGACTCACATTACTGCCTCCGCTCCACTGAAGTCTGATCCTCTCCACTCACTTTGCTTCATCCACTTTATTCGCTCCTCTCCCACTTCTTCCCCAAACTCACTCACTCAACTGTGCTCTGCCCCATCCACTCACTCTGGTGTGCTCCCCTCAACTCACTCATTCTGCTGCGGTCCGCTCCACTCCATTCCCTCACTCTGTTGTGCTCTGCTCCCCTCAACTGCTCTGTTATGCTCATCACTCGCTCTACTCTGCTCCCCTCAACTCACTCACTCTACTCTACTCTGCTCCCCTCCACTCACTCACTCCGCTGTGCTCCCCTTTACTCCACTCACTTGATCTGCTGTGCTCTGCTACCCTCAACTCACTCACTCTGCTGTGCTCTGCTCCATCCACTCACTCCCTCTCCTGTGCTCCGTTCTCTTCCAACTCACTCACTCTGCTGTGATCTGTTCCATTCCGCTTACTTACTTTGCTCGCTTCCACTAAATACCATTCCTCTACGATTCACTCGACTCCGCCCCACATTACTGCCTCTGCTCCACTGAATTCTGATCCTCTCCACTCACTTTGCTTCACCCACTTACTTCGCTCCTGTCCCTCTGCTCTACTCCATCTGCTCCACTTCTCTCCACTAACTTCGCTCCGCTCCCACTGCTACACTTCTCTCCACTAACTTCGCTACACTATTTTTCACTCACTTGGTTCCCCATACTGACTTGGCTCCTCTCCTTCTGCTCTACTCCCTCTGTTCCACTCATTTTCACTCACTTCGGTCCTCTCCACTCCACCCGCTCTACTCTCAATCCATTTCACTCCACTCCCCCACTTCACTCATTCACTTGTTTCTCTCCATTAAACCCTCCTCCCACCACATCTCTCCATTCTTTCTTCTCCAGTCAGCTACAAACCTCTCATACCACCAACTCTGCTCCCCTCCACTCATTCCGCTCCAGTCAGCTCCAGACACCCACCTCTCTGTGTTGCTTCACTCATTCTTCTTCAGTCAGCTATAATCCTCTCACACCACCAACTCTGCTCCCCTTCACTTTCTTCTCATATGGTAGGGTAAAAAAAGGGATGTATGGATTGTGTGACCGTCGCGGGATCTGCTTTCTTTAACCGTAGCCGTAATATTGAGCGATGACTTTATGGATGGGATCTGTCATAAATTCCTCGAAGTAGGCTAAGGAGTAGGTCAATAATGGGGCGGCGCGTTCCCTGGTCTCCAGGCTATAATCGACTAAAGTATCCATGAGATGTTGTAACCGTTCGGTACCCACATGAACTGAACTATCGTACAGGGTGGTGAATTTCCCTCAACTTATTACTCGACGTAGGGCGGAGTAAATATCGTGCCCATTGACGTCCACCCCGACGCGCCTGAAGAACCGTTTTTCGATTTTTAGGTCTTCATCCCATGTATTCCGCAATGGGTGTACCAGTGCATTCGTCCTTCATTTTTCCCAGGATCCTTTTATTGGTCGCATTGTGTAAAGCAGTGTTTTGCCATGTCCTCGACACATCCTCGGTTCGAATTTTTAAGAGCAACGAGTCAGTGTCGGTATACAACAACTGGCATCCACTAAAATACTGCGTTTTGAGCTTGATGTAGTAGAAATTATACATCAAATGCTTAAATACATCAAATGCCACGAAGACCGGTCGATTTAATTTGATGTGACTTTTGTTCATGTGCAGTGCTGCCAAATCGTCATCGAACACTTTGCTTCAGTTAAAGGCTGGGCTGACTATGAGTTCTCTCATTTTTTCCTCTTTGTTGGATCTAACCAGTTTTACTGTTATCTGTTTTCTTAAATTCTCCATCGTTTTGCCAAACACGGAATTGTTTATTAATATATATAGCTTTTTCTTGAAATCACTGGTGGCTTGTTTTCGCAGCTCGGTGTTTAACCGAATGTACAGTTCCATCCACTTGCTGTATTTTTTTTAGCTTCATCCCCAAAGACAGATGTAGCTGCAGATTTCGATAATGCACAATGTACTTGGTCTTATCCATCAAATTGGGTACGAGTTTATCTACCTGAGCTGGTTTAGTTGGCCCCAACATTTCTCACTGATAGCCCAACATCCATTCTCGATCGACCGTTAGCTGTTCGGGGGCCAGCGGGTAACTGTTGTGGTCGGGCGTCGATTTCTGCGGGATATTCCAAATCCACTTTGAATATGTATCCCAACTTGAAATTTTCGGGGATAGCCATGATGTTATGTTTAAAATGTTTGCTATTAACCCACTCGAACACACACACACACACACACACACACCACCGCCCCCGGACCCTGTGGGTAGATATTGACTCATGGCCCAGCGGTACAGGTTGTTGGCATCGAGAAAGAGGAGATGGTTTGCGGGTTTACTCGAAACGTAGCCTTTTATGTATTTATTATTGGCTTTGGCATAGCGCTTGGAGACCATCGTAAACCCCGTAAATCTGTTAACAATTGCAACGTCAGTCGTTTTTTTTTAACAAGCCATCCCATGACAGACCAGGACTGGTGTAATATGAGGCTGGATCGACATCGTACTGTTTCAGACATGTTTTTCTGAATACCTCGAACACGTTGGTGAGCAGGAGCAGATTCGTTCTTAAATACAGGTCATGATAATCACCTAAATTCTGACAGCCTAGTTTTTCAGACATGCGAAGGATGTAGGCGTAATCGTCTTCGGTGATATTGGATTCGGTTAAGCGGCTATGAAAGC